GAACACGAGAGCGGAGAACAAGGTGAAACGGGCCGTCGACACGGTAACAAAGACAGACGAGGAAAGGGACACAGCACGACTGAGAGGAGCACGACGGGACCACCAGGACGAGGAACGGGACTGGACAGGGGGAACGGGAGGAGACGGCAGGGGATCATGGACCAAGCGTGCAGGTGCAGGGTCGGGCAGGCCTCTCAGTCGCTGCTGCTCCGCCTCCTCTGGCGTCTGCTGCGGCGGCGCCTGTCCGTGCTGCTGCTGTTGCTGCTGCTGCTGCTGTTGTCCGGCTGTGGCTCCTCCTCTACCCTCTCACCTACACCTGCTGCTACTGTCAAACTATAATTATATAGTCTGTTTAGTTTTAGTCTTGGTGTTCTACACTGTGTCGTATTTGTCCTAGCCCTAGGGTTAGGGTTTGCCATATCTTGCTTGTTTCTTCTTTCCTTATTCATTCTTTCTCATCCCTAGCAAGTTATCACGTTAACATGGTATAGAGCCTAGGAATGTATCCGATGGGCCCACCGCCCCGTACCCCGCCCTAGTCCGAAGTGCCCTAGCCCGTAGCGCCCCATCACCTCATAACCCGTAGCGCCTCGCCCCTCCTTAGTGGCCCATTAGCCTTAGCCCGCGCCACCCCCCCCCCCCCCCCCGTTTTCCCCCCTCCCGCTCCCTGCCCGTCACCTTACCCTGCACGAGCACGCACATGCAGATATCGTGCGTGCATTTGCACACTGCCACGCGCACTTAATCGCGAGCACGGAGGCGCATGCACACGCAGCATGCACAGTTGCGCGCGCGGCTTGGACGCACGCATGCACACCACTGCATGCACACACGCGTGTGCAACTGCACGCACTGGCGACCGCGCATGGCCCGCACCCCACCCGCTACCTGCTAAGCTACCTGCGCCACCCGATACCCTGCCACCTGAACTTGCTAACCGCCGCCCCAGCCCCACCCGCTACCCGCCTCCCCACCTGCTAATCGCATCCCCATCCGCTACCTGCCGCCCCACCTGCTATCTGCTGGCCCACCTGCTAAAAACTGCCCCATCTACCACCGGCAGCCCCACTTGCTACCCGCCTCCCCAAAGCTATACGCCGCCCCACCTGCTACCCCCCACCCCACCTGCTACCCGCTGCCCCACCCGTAGCCGCTACCAGTTACCGGTCCCACCCCTGAACAGCCCGGTACCGTACTCAACCCCACTGAACCGTCCAGTACCGCACTCAACCGCACTTCACCGCAGCTTAGGCTGCAGCCAGCAAGCGCCAACTACACCTCCCCCCCCCCCCCCCCCCCCCCCCCCCACGCTCATGACCCCTCCTAGCTGCAACCGACCGCACTCCACCGCTCATGACCCCTCCTCGCTGCTACCAACAGCACCCACCCGCACTAGACCACACCCGATCACACCTGACTACTACTAGCCGTTTTCAACCGTACCAGTCCGTACCTGGCCGCTCCTCACCACACCCAACCGTACTAGACCGCACTCAACCGCACCCGACCGCTCCTAGCCGGTCCCCACTGCACCCGACTGCTTCTTGCCGTTTTCCACTGCACTAAACCGCACCAGACCGTACCAGGCCGCTCCTCACCGCACCTAACCGCACTAGACCGCACCCAACCGCACCCGACGGCTCCTAGACGCTCCCCACCGCACCCGTTTGCTTCTAGCCATTTTCCACCGCACAAGACCGTTATAGTCACAATAGGCTTGAATGTGCCTAAAACGAAAGATACGGTGCACAGACGGATTTCGGCAGAGCGGCTTCAAACATTGTTAACGTTCTGGTCACAGCACTAAATGAGGTGCTATCAATTGGATATGGAGCGTCTTGACGTCGCCTACAGTGAGCAAGTTGAATCACTTCATGTGATAACGAAATGACGACGTAAGAGTAGTTTGAGCGAACGGCGGTCTAGCAGCATTGATAGTCTTAGGACACAAGATAGGAAGAAGTTACGAGTTGGGAATGACTCCGAGCCTCTACAAACCCCAAGAGCCGAATTCTAAGAAGGTGGAACAGTGCCACACGGTTCCCAACCTCGAAGTGTCTCGAAACTACCCACCACAAGGGCCTACACCAGAGAAATGTTACACTTCACAATGAAATGTAACTATTCTCACTATCTTGGTCTTTACCGTTTTGGCGAGCTCCGAAATTACTCGAAACTTGAAACCAAGGCTCTGGGTCTTCACCATGATCCCTTCCTTGAGTTCTTGAAATTCTGCTGCACACACCTGCAACACGCCGAAATGTTCGACACATGACAAAATAGAAAATGCACACGACACGCAAACGACGATGTGACACGCGACTCGCGATAACTCGCTATTGACTCCACACACACATTCGACATCATGACTCATCATTCACATAACTATAATGAGCATAAGATATATATTATCTCATGCCCTCATACCATTCAATGCACACACGCATGCACGCACAAGGACAACAAGCCGAGTGCAAACCATGGGTTTGCACTAACAAACCCCCCCTTGGCGGGTGGATGGCACGTATGGGCGAAGCAGGCTGACATGGAATGACGGGCTGACGTACCAGTCAACAGGGAGGAGGAGATGGGCGGTGATGGGTGTGATCATGTGGCTGATGCAAAATGGCCCGCAATATCGGGGGCGGAGTTTTGGGGTGATGGGCAGGCGGAGGTTTTGAGTGTCGAGTAATACCAGGTCGTCGGGTTGGTAAATGACGGGGCGGCGGTGTCGGTCGGCGTTGCGCTTAGCGATGACGGCTGATTTTTTTATTGCTTCAGCTGCTCGGGTCCGTGCAGCTTGCAATATTTCTGCGAATGAAGCTCCGCTTCTCCGCTGCTCGTTCAATATGAAGCTCTGTAGTCCGTATGAAATATTGCAAGCAGGTTTTGAGTGTCGAGTAATACCAGGTCGTCGGGTTGGTAAATGACGGGGCGGCGGTGTCGGTCGGCGTTGCGCTTAGCGATGACGTTTGATTTTTTTATTGCTTCAGCTGCTCGGGTCCGTGCTGCTTGCAATATTACTACAGAGGTGCTAATGGCGAGATGGCTAGAGGTAGAGATGCTGGAGAGAAGGGGGGAGTTGCTGGTGGTGGAGTGGGGAATCACCAACCAGCCAACCCTACGCTACCTACTTCTACTACACCATCTCCAACCGTGGATCCCGTGAAGGCATTCTCTATTGAGAAGTTTAGGGGGGAAGACTACGAGCACTGGAGCTTCCACATGAGGCTGATGTACACCCAATACAAGCAATTGGACCTGGTGGAAGGGAAGGAGAAGATGCCACTAACAAAAACTAAACATATAAAATATATGTTGACACCCTATTCTGCCATAGCGTGGTACGCCCTCTTGGGTTCCACCTTCACAAATCGCACTGGCAGCTCTCCCAACGGTCCCTCCTTCCAGTACCGCGTTCGAAACTCTACCTTCTCCGTCCAGGTGCAGATAGTCATCCCCACCGCAAACACCAGCTCGATGCCCACTAGCACATCAAAATCCTCCGACTCCGAGATGCCACACTTCATTCTGATCTTGGTCTCATGTTCCCCCTTTGGCAGCAGTGTCACTTCTATGGGTGCCCGAGTGCACGGCATCCATTTCTGCTCCCCTCCTTCTGCCGTCATCACCAACATCTCCTTCTCCACATGCCTTTCTGGAGCCATGAGCCCCGGCTTCTCAGCCACCCCCCTGCCCAGCATCACACTCTGTGCTCCCGTATCTATTATGGTTATCTTCACCTTCTCCCCCTCCACTTCCATCGCTCCCCCTTCCAGCAGCAGCACTGAGGTCTAACACGCCAGCCTCTCCTGCGGATGGCGTGCTGGCGGCTGTCCCTGCATTGGCTCTTCTGGTTTTTGCCCCTTCCCTCGTACCTTCCTGCCCTGCTCCTGCCTGCCGTCCTTCCCTCCGCTCCTCAGCCCCATCTCCTCCCTTCCCCTCCATGCTAAGAGTGCGCACTGCACGTCCTGCTCTGCCTCCTCTCCCTCCTCATCTCTAGCGTATATCCATGCCTCAGCCTCCCATCTCGGCCCTGTTGCGTGCAGCTGCGCCTGCAGCCTGCTGATCTGCCGCTGCAACTCCTCCGGGCTCTTCCTTGCTCCTCCTTCCCTCTGATAGCAGTCTTTGCCCTCATGTCCCTTCTTCCTGCAGATCTCACACCTGGCTGCATTAGGACACTCTCGCCTACGGTGGCCCGGCTTCCCACAGCCATCACAGTTCTTGCAGTCTCTGCGGATGTGCCCTGGCTGTCCGCAGCTGTGGCATATCCTGGTTAGCTCTTGCCTCTCCCCGCTCCTCTGCCCTCCCCCTCTCCTCCGGTATCATTGCTGCCGCCCAGGTTGGCCTCCGGCTTCTCTCTATTGGCCTTGGCAGGTAAGCTTCATACTTTCTCTGTGCGACCTTCTCTGCCAACTCAAACACATCATCCAGACTCGCCTCCGCTCTCAGCTCATACACCCTCATCCTCAATCAGCCTGCCAATGCCTCGTCCAGGCCCCCCAAGAACTTACTGATGAGGAGGCTGCTGTCAGAGCATCTCACGTCCTCTGCCACATTGATCAACCGACTGTAGTATGTCAGCAGCGATTCTGCCCGTCCTCTCTTGAACTCCTGAAACTCCCTTATCCTCTCTGCCGTGTGCCTGGGGAACTGCCGCTGTAACCGCTCCAGGAACGCTTCGGTGTGCCTACTTTCCTGCCCTCTACAGCAATTCTTCCATCCTCATGCGGTACAACGTTTCGGCTTTCCCTTCTAATGTGTTTGGCAGGCACAGGAAGAAGTCCACCGGGTCCATGCTGTTCTGGTCACAGCGGTACTTCACGTTTGCTACTTGCATCAAGTAGTTCTTGAGTGAAGGCCCTGACCGTTGATCGCCCGAGAACCTGGCTGGCACCTCCACCCTTGGTGATGTGGCCGCGCCTCCCCGTCCCTCTCCCCAGGCTTCACTCGCCCCTCTTGACGGTCTCCCATACATCCATCCTTGCTCAGCTCTTTCCATGCCTTCCCTAGCTTCTTGTGCCCGTTCAGGCCCGTACGCCAGGCTTCCACTCCTGGTCCTGCTCTCTTGCTGGTCCCTTTGCACCTTGCCCTACTGTTTCCACTGACTCTCCTGCCTTCCTGTCTGCTCCCACTGCCGAGCCGGCGAGCGATTGGTCCTCTCCCATTCTTCTCGCCGTGTCTCGTGTGGTCGACGCCTCGCTGGGAATGGTGACCATTCCTCTTTGCCCCATCCTTGCTGCCGACGGCCAGCCGTTGAGTGTCTCGCCCCGTCCAGCCTCTCCTCTCGCGGGCGGCTTCGGTTGGGCGAGCGTGACTCTCCACTGGGCCTCTTCTTCCACCGCCTCTGTTGGCGAGGCGAGCGTGATTCTCCCCTTCGTCGCCCTTCCTGCTGCCAACGTGGCTCAAGCGAGCGAGATTCCGCGCTCTGTCTTCCTTCACGTGCCTGCTGTCGACCGGGAGAGCGCAGCTTGCTCTCACGCTTTTCTCCCCGTGGCTGCACCCTGCCGCCGTGCCGCTCCGTTCTTGGCTGAGGTCCCCTGGGCGAGCGCGAGTCTCTGTCTTGCCGTCCTGCCAGCAGTCGGTGCTCTTATGGTGTGCGCGAGCGCTCTTCCTTTCTTCCTCCGTGCGATTCCCGCGATGCCTGCAACTCGCGCGCCTCTTCCCATTGGTTCTGACGCTCCTGCTGCAGCGCGTCGTGTGGGTAATGCCCTCCCCGACGTTCAAGACCTTCCGCACGCTGCTCCTCCCGCGCCTCACTCAATTCCTCCACTTCCGCCTCGTCTGAGTTGACGGTTTCATTGGTCGGCGTGGATTCCTCCTCCTCGGCTCCGGCCAGGTCGAGGTGGTCCTCGCTTGCCATTCCGTCGACGTGCTACTGCTCGTCATTCCCGTCCCCCGCGTCGCCCTCATGCGTTTCCTCCCGCGTCTGGTCGGCCTGTGAAGTTTCCTCCGCTCTGCTGACGCCAGAGCCTTCTCCTCGGCCGCGAATGGGCTCCTCTCGTCCCCGCCAGCGACCTCGGTCATCGCGTCGCTGCCCCCCCTCTTTCGGGGAGCGGAACACCCCGACGTCGCGGTGATGCCTCCGCTCGCCTCCGGTTCGGTGGAAGTCTCTCTCCGCCACGGCGCTCCGGCCGACGCGGCGAGCCTCTCGCCGCTCGCTTCGCCGTGCGTCGAACTTCCTTCCCGTCGGGCTGGCTCAACCAGGACCCGATCCGCGCGGAAGGTCCGCCTCCCGGGTGATCGCTCTAGGGACCGCCCGCGCTCCTGTGAGCGCTCCTTTCCTCCTCTCGTCGGCTAAAGATTCTGCCTCAGTGCAACTCGTACTTGACAATTTTACGCGCCTAAGCTTATTGCTTGTTATGAATTAGATTGCTCCCTCACCCCACAGGTTCCCTCCTGGTGGCGTGCCACTGTATGCTAAGAGCTAGAGTGCCAATTTCCACTAATGCGAGAGAATAACAAGCAATAAGCAACGAATGCAGGGGAGTGCGTGACCTTACCTAGCTCAGCCCCATGCTGCAGATTTCCCAATGCGCGGCTCGGGGTTGGGACACATTTCGCCCTTTGTCACACATTTCGCCCTTCGATGCTTTCCCCCCTGATTCCCCCAACCGCTCCTATTCAGTTCTCCTCTTCTACACCTAGTCAAACAGTAACCTCGCTACACTCTACAACATACACTTCTTCTATTTGTTCATGCACTAAGTGCATGTACGGTTATCCCCTGTAGGACTTCTTATACCCCCCTACTCCTGTTATTGCATATGCATGAAGTGCATATGCGGTGACATGTGCAGGTGACGAGGCACAGCACGCCAATCAACTGCGCGCACCTGCGAAGCGGGTGCACTGCTGTCCTGCGGGTGCAACGCTGTGCAGCCGCCTTGCTGCAGCGTTGGCACGCCGTTGACTTGCAGTGTTGGCAGGCCGCGACTTTGCACTGCTGGAGCGCGGCCGACCATGTCGTGCTGGAACGCGGTCGACCGTGCTGCGCTGGCAATCGACCTGCAACCTTGCTAGCATCTGATGTTTTCTTGCTTGCCAACTTCATTCTTACCATTGTTGTAAACTTTTGCTAGTGAAACTCTTGCCAACTTTCCCCGTGAATGCGCAAGTAGAGAGAGCACAAGTGAACGACTAAGGAACGAATGCTACGATCACTCCTACCCCGTGCCTACCCCGTAGACTGGCTCCCGTTGTAGTAGTTATCTCCACATGGTGCGGTGAGCGTGGAAGGCACCGCGACTTACCTTCAGTCTAGTCGACTTAGTTACACACTACCTATCTTGTTCGTAGGCCGGCAGCTGTGTTAGTCACCATGGTTGGCGCCGTAGGTGACGCGGGCGTAGTGGATACACTGGAGACACGGCTGACTGATGCGAGGAGACGCCACGCAGATGGTGAGTACAGGGAGACGCTCCCCTTGGAGGTCGTCGAGCTAGGCATCCGTGCCAAATGGGCGACGGAGCATCATTCTTGACCTGCCTCTCCTTGATCGGTGAACAACGAAGGCGGCGTCGACGTGGGCATCAACGCTGGTGACCAAGTCGGCAGCAGCGCGGGAGGCACGTCGATGCAGAGAGGGGTGTTCCGGACGGCCGACGGTGAAGTCGGCGGCGTTCAGGTGCGAGGGCTGCAGTCGTCGGCGGCTGCTGCCTCCTCGCAAGGCAACGTCGGAGGACGTCGGAGCAGCGTGACGCCGGCGTCGGCGACCCACGTGAGAGCAAGGGGGATAGCGCCGACCTACGGGTACTTCAAGTTCCCGCCGGACAAGATCGCCGTCAACCCCCTGCTGGTCGGCCGTCACGACCTCCTCACGTGGAAGGAGGCCATCGAGCCCCAGCTGGAGATGGCTGGGCTGATGTGCTTTGCCGACGGCACCGTGGAGACGCCGCCTGAGAGCAACGCCAAGCTGCGTGCGGAGTTCCGCGCCGTGCAGCTTTTGACCTTCACGGTCATCTCGCGGTGCTTCTCGTCGGTGGTGCAGATCGCCTTGAAGTCGTGCAGACATCACCTGGACACCGGACCTTAGGTGTGGCGGTTCATCACGTCGACGTACCAGGTCACCGACGACCTGCACATCGGCCAGTTGGGGGAGCAGCTCACGCACCTAAGGATGGGCGAGCAGGAAACGGCAACCGACCACTGCAACCGAGCTCGGCGTCTCCTTGCCTGCATGCGAATGGCTGGCGTCGAGTACTCGACGGCGTCGTACATCACGCACGTCCTCAAGGGACTCCCGAGCGGCTTCAACCTGATGAAACGTCTGATGGTGGTACCGAGCACGCGGGAGTCGCTCAACGAGGGACGAGGCGATTCAGGAGGCTGATCGATCCACGGAGCTCCTGCCACAGGCGAACTACGTCGCCCCGACGAAGCAAGGAAGTCGACCGGGGCAGTGCAGCAAGCTTGTCGGCGGTGGAAGCGGAGGTGGGAAACTGGCCAAGGACGCCGAAAAGGATAGGTCGGCCAAGGATGACGGTCGAGGACGAGGAGGTCGTCGTCGGGAATGCTGGCTGTGCGGCGATCCCGGCCACCTCTCCTTCGAGTGCCCCGACTGCAGCGACTCCGACGACGACGACACCAAGGGAGGCCAAGGGAGGTCGGCCGGGCGCCGCCCTTGTCGGGAGAGTAAGCCGCGCAAGGAGAAGCAGTCGACCAAGTCGACCTCTGCGAATGATGCCGACTCCTCCTCAGGCGGCAAAGGGCGAGGCGACGGGGAGGCGTCGTGCTCGCTGGTCAGCGTCGTGGAGCCGACCGTATCGCTGGCGCCAGAGGCCGGTGAGGACTTCCAGGCGGTGGCGGCAGCTGTGCAGGCAAACCTGGCGGTGGTCCTGCTTGACATCGGCTGCTAGCACCACCTGATGGGGACGACGGAGATCTTCATCGACTTAGGACCGAGCGGCGACGTCAAGCACGTGCGTGGCTTCAATGGGGCGCTGCAGACCGTCCAGGGCCGCGGGACTGTCGCTCTCTGCAAGGAGAGGCCGGGAAGCAGGTGCTCATCCCCGACGTGCTCTTCGTCCCGGGCGTGGATGCCAACCTGCCGTCAGCTGGCCAGATGAAGGAGAGTGGCGTGATGCTGCAAGACGATGGTGACGGGATGCTGCTCGTCTCAGCGGCAGGAGACGTTCTTGGTCGGGCAAAGTAAAACGGCCGGATCCTCTGCACCGACCTTCGTCCGTGCACGGCGATGTCGACGTCGACCACGATGGAGACGTTGGCTCTGCGGACCATCGCCACAGCGACGAAGTCGACGCCGGCCAGGTGGCACGTGAGGCTTGCTCACGTCGGCGTTGACACCATCACGAGCTCGGTGAAGCATGAAGTCGCCACCGGTCTGGACGTCAAGCCGTCGGCCGGCACCAACTCCCGTGTGTCTCGTGCGTCGGCGGGAAGCTAGCGCGGCACACCTTCCTCGACAAGGGCTCGGACGCCGACGATGCTTTGGCTGTCTTGCACATCGACCTGTGCGGGCCTTTCGAGGTGGCCGCCAAGGATGGCAGCCTCTACTTCTTGCTACTGAAGGACTGCAAGACCCGCTACGTGTGGGTGAGGTCGGTCGTCAAGAAGTTCAACGTGTTGCGGGAGTTCGAGAAGTGGCTGGTGGTGGCTGAGCGGCAGACGAAGAAGTCGGTGCTGATGCTGCGCTCGGACCGAGGAGGGGAGTTCCTCGGGAAGGAGTTCACCGACTTCGTGGACGGCAAAGGGATTGTCCACGACATGACCTGCCCCTACACACCGCAACAGAACGGCATGGCGGAGCGGGAGATGCGGACGATGCTGCTGCATATGGGTGTGAAGCACCACTGGTGGCACCTCGCCTGCGGCAGGCCGTCTGGGTGCGCAACCGCCTGGAGAGGTCGACGCTGCCGCCGGGGAGGACGCCGTACCAGCTGTTGACCGGCAAGAAGCCCGACTTGACGCCGGCCCATGTGTGGGGCTGCATGGCGCAGTTCCTGGTCCCCGAGCAGGTGGGGCCTTCACCTCGGTGGGGCCTTCACCTCGGTGTGTCGGAGGAGAGCAAGGGCTGGGAGTTCCTTGACCTCACCGACAACTGGATTGTCATCACGTCGGACGTGGTGTTCTACGAAACCATGTCGCTGGAGATGTAGAAGTCGGAGCACGGGCTGGCGCCGGGGCGGACGCAGGTCAACCCGCCGACGGACACCTCGACGGCGACCCTCCCTCTCCTCGCCGAGGTCGGTGACCCTGCTGATGAGGACGCCGTGAGCGTCCCTTCCCCTTCCCCTCCCCCTGTCTCCCCACCCCTCGTAGCCGATCTGCGTGAGCTGACGCCGGCGTCGGCCTCCGGCGATGAGGGGAGCAGTGGGACGTCGCCTGTGGCGCCGGCCAAAAGCATCGCTGGTGACCAACGTGACGTCGAGCAAATCGGCGTGGGAGAGAAGCCGCCGACGATAGGGGAGCAACGAGTGGTGAGGAAGCAGCCGACTTTGCTGAAGTCGGTGAAGAAGGTTGCGGCAGAGAAGCCGTCAACACGGGAGCAGCCAATAGGGGCACCGACCAAGGAGCCGTTGGCCACCGGACAGTCGGCAGGGGAGCCGACGACAGGGGAGAAGTCGGCACGGACGTCGACTTTGGTGGAGCAGGACGTTGAGGGCAGCGAAGCCGGTAACGATGGACGGGAGCAGTCGGGCGCCGAGCAGTCCACTGACAGTGATGTGGTGGAGGTCAACACCGAAGAGCCTGGACCACGGCGTTCAGGCCTGCTTCGGAGGCCGCCTGAGTTACTGACCTACGATGTGTGCCTGCCGCCGGCCGCCTTCACA